GTTTTACATCTTATACTTTAAACTCTTTTTATTGTTGTTGTTTTTAGTGTAGGATATAAGATCTGGTTCTGACATGATCTCTTTCTAAGTGGCCATGCAGCTGTCTCTTTCTATTTAGAATTTCACCTTTACTCTCCATGCTTCCTACATAGTTTATTTTGGACTTTCTATTCTGTTTTATTGGTGATCTGTATATTCAAGAGTCATTACCACACTTTTAACTTTTATTTTTAACAGTCTCTTTACTTTTTGTGTTGAATACTTTTTCACTGTTTTGACACTCTGATTTTGGTTTTCATTATTTTAGTAATGTTCTCTAGATTTTAACATATTACTTAATATTTATAGAAATATTGTCTTACTAAGCAAGACAAGAAAAACAGTTTTAAGATGAGGGGTCCAGATCTGAAAAGCCTTCTGCAGCATTGCCTCTAGATGACTTAATTATCTTGAATGCCTTAAAAGTAATAACTTTAATAATAATAACACTAATAAATATGAAATATTTTAAGTAATGATAATTGTAATAAAGCAATACTGCATGCTCAAAGGATTTTGTGAACAATGCATGAGGTATTACAGTGACCACAACAGGCACATGGTGAAACCTGACAAAATATTACCTGCTTTTATTAGCTATTTATGATGCTAAGGAATAAATAAATCATGCATGTTTACTATTGCTGCTATACTATGAGAAATTCAGAGAAATAAAACACTCCAAAGCATAAGAAAAAGTACAGTCAATAACATTAATGTGTATTTCTTTTGCATATGAGTAAATCATATTTTGAGGAACTCAAAAAAAAACTTAAAGATCCTATAATATCACCCAAAGTAAAATCTTTACATAAGCAAACAGTTATAAGGGAGGAAAAAACTAGAGCTTTGTGGGGTGGTCCTATAATTTTTAAAGCATATTTTACTAGAGTTAAACACAACAAACAGAAAACAAAAAGATATTGCAAAAAGCATTTTAGTTCCAGTTTTAAAGTAATTCCTGATCTTCTGAGGGAAATTCAGAAGCTTTCCCCATAGAATTTTATATACTGAGAGACATAAAAGCAAAGCAATAGAGTTATGGTTTAAAAATATTTTCATAGTTAAAACTAGGTACTAACAGATACATTTGTACAATCAATACTTTTTTAATTTTTTTATTTTTTAGTTGTAGTTGAACACAATTTATTTATTTATTTATTTATTTATTTATTTATTTATTTATTTATTTATTATGTGGTGCTGAGGATGGAACCCAGGGCCTGACACATGCTAGGCGAGCACTCTATTGCTGAGCCACAACCCCAGCCCATACAATTAATACTTTTTAAAAAATGCCAGCAGGCTCTCATATGGTATGATGATTTAACTTTAGCATTATACCAAGTATAAAATTAAATGAGCACCATTATAATTTTGGCTAATTACACATTATTACTTATGCCTCCTATTTACAAACTAAAGGATTATAAAAATGTAACACAAAAATATCAAGTCACAAATAAGTTGTTACCTATTATAACATGCTCCAAGTCATGACTTATTGAGGATGAGTAAAAGGAAAAGGCTTTTTCTTTAGTCCTTAAGCCTATGACACAATTTCCACAGTAGTATTTCTTTTCATCCTCTAAAGATTTCCCTTTCATGATAACATTATTTTCTTTCAGCTTGGGATTTCTCTTTGTAGAAGGTGAACTGACAGTGCTGATGATTTGTACCATTGCCCATAGAATAGCAGTCTCCACCCAGGTGAGAACTGCAGATTGTTCCTACTTTACCACTGGTGCCTCCCTCTGATGGTATCCAGCATGTGACCAGCAGCAGAAGTGAAGCCATACTGACCCCAGACCAGGGTACCTTTCCATTTGACTGAGCCCATGTAGTAATTTGCAATAACTAGACACCTGGGTAACTTGCAATACCTAGAGACAAATTGGAAGACTAGACAGAAGACTAGGCATTTAAATGTTGATTGTCCCAAGTTCTTTAGTTTCTTGTTCCTTTGTGTCTTCAGTGAGAAGAAATAAGAAAAGGAAGCTTTAATGTTTAGCATTTTAGAGTATCAAACACGGATCAGGTTGTGGCTGAGGCCTTGTGCTTTGGAGCTGCTGGATCTGAGCTTGAAATCTTGCAATTTGAGCTTGATGGATCAAATTGAGCCTCTGGGCTTCTTCCTAAGTGAAAATAGTCATAATAATACTTAGCAAAAAGTAAGGTCTGCTTCATTTTGATTGCTTTTTGACTTGTCCTTATTTCCTTTAATCTACAGGAACAATAAACAAACAGTACCTGAATCTCCCTCTTCCACTAATTTACCTCCAGCTTACTTCTGTAGTTATTCACATTGGTCTTCCTCTACCTCCAGAAACATTGTTTCAGTCCCTGAAATGTTGCTGTCTCTAGAATTCCATCCCAGGGCTCCCTTGCCAATTACACTACACAATTTCCTTCAGTAATCTTCGTTACATCTTGACCTCAATTCTCTATCCCTATCTCTTTCCAATTTTTAGGAAAATATTGACTATGTTTGTAAGAGAAGAAACTGAAACAAAAGCACAATGTCTAGGTGATATGCAATCAGGAGAGGAGTCTGGACCTTAGATGAGGGATATGTTCCAGGTCAATATACTTTGGAGGGAAAAGTACAAGAAAAGATTGAGCAGATCAAACACCAAGATTGCCAATAATGCCTTTCAGGAAAAAGCTACAATCCCCAAAATGCCACAGGGTAGTTACTAAAAAAATGGGTACCCATAGTTTTCATGTTAAGTCAGGGCAAGGTTGGGATTTTGTCTGAGGTGCTCACATAGGAATTCTCCAAGGATCTCGGGAGCAGCCACACTGCGGTTCCCACTCACAGGAGAGACAGCTTCATTGACTCACAAGACTGTGAGATACTGGCATTTAGTTATTTCCTTGAGACCTCGATTACCTCATATAAAACTTAGGATAAAATACTTCTGCTTCACAGTAAGTAGATTAGATGAGAGAATGCATGCAGAGGGGTTTGTACAGGGCTTAGGAGAGAAGAACTCCTGCTTATTGWGTGATGATAAACTAAAGGACTTGATGAAACAAGGCCATCAACCAGAGATGACAAGAGCAAAGACACTGCTATATGAAATTGACGTAACAAGGTATGATCAAGACAAAGGATTGACCAGTGAATTAACAAATTAACAGAAAAGGCTAATCACTGTGGGACAGAAATGCCTCAGTCTATATATAAAAAATTATATTTTTACTCTATGCCAAATACCATTCTAAATGCAAGTACTAATGCATTTCATTATCACAATATAAAATATATGAAACTGTCATTTCCATTCTATACAAGAAKAAAAGGAGACACAAAGAAAATAAATAAATAGCTTGCTTAAACCATGCATTTGGTAAAGTTGAGCTTGATGCAAACCCAGCTGTCTAGCTCCACAGACCCTACTTTGAGCCACCATAGCAGTCTGCATCTCCCCAACGGCCACTCTTTCATGCCTTCATCCTTTTAGGGAAGGGCCAGAAACACAATCCTGAGAWGCAACAATTAATCAATACCTGGAGTCGACGTTCCTGTTCCCTCTGTTGCTGTGCCTGAAAGTTTGCTTTATCTATCTCCATTTGTCTTATTTGCTGCCGATGGAGTCTCTCCCTCTCCTCCATCATTTTCTGTTTCTGCCTACGAATTGCCTCCAGCCTTTCTGCTTCAGCCTTGGCAGCCTCTGCTTTTATACGTGCCTCTGAAGAGAAAGAAGAAAAGGTAAAACAAAACAAAACAAAACAAAACAAAAAACCCTGGAGAACTGTTCTGTCCCTCCCTTGGGCTTCCCACTCTTATTTGTTATTGCTCCAACCCACAGAGAAAATTCCCTGGCACTGTTTTTCCTTCAAGATAACCATATTGCAGCTGATCCTGCCATACTCAGGTACCACCTGTGGGGATAGGACACCTCTTTGCCTGTCTTATTCTAGTTGAATGATCTCAGCTGGGCCAGAATATATGAATTTCACATTTTTGGACACTTTTTTTGTCTCTCTTACTTTGTTTCTGTTCTCTTCTCACCTTTCATCTCCTTTTCCTTGGCTGTGAGAGCCTGGTCTGTCTGTAGAACAGCTTTACTCACAGACTCTTTGGACTTTAAATACTTTTGCAGAGCGTTCTTAGCCTAGGAACACCAAAAACACACAGTTAGAACTTGGCAGTGGTGATTGGCAAGGTGATAAAATCACGTTTTTTGTTCCATAAAGCATCTTTTCCTCTTAGAAGGTGCTCTGTCTCTACCTGATGGAGATGTCCATCAAGCCTCTCCACAGGTGGGGTTCAGAACGTGTCAGGGCAATTAAGAGCACCCAACACCACTAGATGAAAAAAACTCACTGCAACAACAGTGTTTGCTCTGTCACCAAGGTAGTAAGGATCGGTTGACCTCACACCCAGTGGTATCTCTTTGTTGTCATGTCGGGCAAGCCTTTTTGAAAATAGAGCCAATAGTGAGGGAAATGGAGCACAATAATGAAGAAGTGCTGGAACATCAAAAGGAAGCAGGAGAATTGCTGACACTGTTTCAACTCTGGAAWGTGTTCACACTTGAAACTAAAGAGCAARCACAAAATACCCATGCATACTCATTCAGTGACAGTGAGTCTGAGGCAGAGACATCAATTCTCATCTCTATTCCTCTAGACATTTCCTTTCTCCTGTCCTCAATGGCTTATTAGAGAGGCCCYAGAAATTCCCATAATTAATAGACAGAACCAGGGATACCTGTATTCCTTTCCTGGGCTGCTGATGGTACTTTGCCTTCAGCTCCTCTGTCTTCTGAAGGTAGAGAGTATGGCCTCCTGGCTTAGAATAAACCCCCTGCTTCACTGCTTCTTCCAGAGGACCAAAAATATCCTGAAGCAAAGCTGAGCAACGATCTGAAGAGACTTCTTCGTTCTGTTTACAAATGTCATTCTGCTTTGCATCTAGTAGGGTCTTCAAAGGGACAGGAACCCACAGAGGTGTTAAACATACCTCAGTACTTCTGAAATTTATATTTTAAAGTCTCTATTTTTCTTAGAAATTCCAAGGACTATACCCTTGCCAGCAATCCTGGAGGAAGTTGCAAGGACGAGAGTCTATGAAAAAATATTTACATTTGTCTATGAAATATTCCGAAATTCCTGTGTCTTTTAATTTCTGCTTAAATGTGATCTTAAGACCACAGACCCCTAGCCTCAAGCCCTCATTTTAAATGCAGCCTACTGTTTTCCAACATTTTCCTACATCAAGCAGAAAATAGATTTGAATAATTGGTTGGAATRATGTCAGTTTATTCTATTAATCCTAATCGTAATTTAGTAGATACAAAGGACAGTTTTTCTCTGCTTAATTAATGAAAAACAAGAATAATATTTTGCAAATGTTTTAAAGGAATGAACCAATCAATCAAATTAATTCCATGGATGTTAAATGGTAAATGTGAGCTGTGTGACTATGTGAAAAATTCAGACTGTAAAAGTCCCAGAATATTTACACATTTTTGTTTTCAGAAGGAAAGTATATCGTGCCACATTAATGATCACCATTGTTTTCCAATAYAGAAGGAATTGCTTTTCTTAAACCATTCCTATTGTATCATTCATAGCAGTATTGTTCATTCTATTAACCCAATGCCCATGAACAAGAAAAATAAATAATTACCTTTAATTCTTTCTGGAAACTTTGGTCCTCATCCTTGAAAGAGTTCTCTGTGAAGATTTTTATGGCCTCTCTCTCACTGGCCCTGTGCAGGCCCAGCAGCTCCTGGAGGGTATCTGTGGGCAGCTGCACCTTCTGGCCCATCAGCTGGTCATAGTGGGCAAGTGCCCTTTTTATTGCAGCTGCATTCTCTCTCTGGGCCAGGGCCAGGACTGCGTTGTCCATGCAGGGCAGATCTCCATTGTTGATAGCGTTGACATAGGTCAGCACCAGGCTCTCCAGACCTGCACAGAAGGAAGAGATGCTTCTGTTCTCTGAAAAAAAAATCTATGATCTATGTCATTAATTCTGAGACCATTCATCGAACAATGTATTACCCCCAAATTCTCAGCATTCTGAATAGGATCCAAGTGTCCCAGACAAATTCCTTTGGGAAATAGTGAGATTAAGAAGGCAGGTATTTCCTTCTTAGGAAAATGAAATAGGAGTCAGAGGAAAAAGACAGGAAAAATGTCTAGAAGTATATCATTATTTAATTATATGCAGAGAAATAAGCATATGATCATATAAAAGTCATGCATATTCATGAAACATATAGTTCTAGGAATTGAGCACAGGGGTGCTTAACTACTGAGCCACATCCCAGCACTTTTTATGTTTGTTTTTTTTTTTTCCAGACAGGGTCTCTCCTAGCTGCTTAGGATCTCACTAATTTATATATATATATATATATATATATATATATATATATATATAGAGAGAGAGAGAGAGAGAGAGAGAGAGAGAGAGAGAGAGATGCATAAGCAGTTACCATCATGCAAATCATATGCAAATATATATACTGGTATGGTATCTCCATATATACATACATACACTGGTATGGGAGATGCCATTCCCTGAAAAAGGGCAAATTGAATAAATTTGAACAATATTCCTTTATTCTTAGTTRGAACTTCCTTGTTTTACTTCTTTGTCATTTGCACTTCACTTCCGTGCATAATATAGTGATTATTTACAAAGCTGTGAAACATAGAGTTGTTATRGAAAGCTACAGGAAGAAGTGTGATTAGATATTTTTAGAGGCTCTAGACCACTTGGGGCATAGTTCAACAATTGTATCAACCAAGTTGCATTTCTAAAAGGAATATATTTATAATTTGTGCCTTCAAACCTTGTAACATACCTTAAAAATCCAATATATTTGTTAAACAAATGCTGCCAACACATATGACCTAATATAGGTCAACAGTGGAAGATGGAAGGATACAACATCTTTAACTTCATCTTATCCTCATTTTCTTATTTCATGCAACCTTAAAGGCATTACTAAAACAAATACTAGAGATATGTTTCATATTCACTCTAAGTTTACATGGTGCATATGATTTGCATGATGGTATTTGAAGATATATTTAACTGAGGATCACCAAGAAAATGTGCACCATTATAATTTTGGTAACTGCTTATACATCTCTCAAGGTTGGCACAACAAGGACCCTCCTATATATCTCTTACACATTATTCTGAGTAGAAGGAAAATCCTTGAAGAGGTACTCACGAGGGCCATTGACCTTGATGCCTCCTGGAAGAATCTTGATCTTGGACTTGGTAAAGAYGTGGGAAGAGAATTCTGCCACTTGTTGCACAAATTCAAGACTCAGCTCATCATCCTGCAGTGTCTCTAGCTGGGAGACCTTCTTCTGGTGAGTGGGTGTGTCAAAGACAAAGCACTTCTTTGTTGGAAAGAACTTTTGAATACACAACCGGGGCAAATTGAAAGTTTGTGTTCTTTGATCACTACCTGGAGAAGGAAAGACAGGATTTATTTTCTTTAGAATTTTCACTCGATTTAATACATTGTCCTTGAATATGTGTCTTTTTTCTTGGTGATCCTCAGTTAAATATATCTTCATATACCCTAAGCAAACAGAGTAAATGTATGTAATCAGAAAAAGGAAAAAAGGAAAGAATATTTTTCCCAAGAAAAGGGAGTAATAAAGTTTGATATTGAGCCTATGAGTTCATTGAAAATTAATAATATTCATTATGTATTCTGAAAAACAGCTATGTTGATAAATAGGAAAAATATACATTTAGCCTTCTACCCAAAACATATCATTTCTTGGGTTACTTTTCTTCCTCTTTTCAAAACAGAAGCCCAATTACCTTTCTTTATCTTTAGTGAATTCTCCAGGTATTCATCTGCTGTCATGAGTTGTCCGTCTATTTCCAGGCTTAGGTAGAAATCTCTTATAGTCCACACCAAGTCTGGAAAGAAGCTTACAATGTCATCAGCATCCTTGTCTCCAAGATCAAGTGACTTTCTTGCCCTGAGTAGATCTGTCAGTTCTGTCACATTGCTGAGATGATTAAGGAAAACTAGCAGAAATAGCACAGCATCTAAGCCCATATTTGATCCCATGTTCCCCAAACCTGCATTTTCCACTTGGCAACCAGCCAAATAAACATTTTCTCATCAGAGAATATGAGGGCTCTTGACTGTACATTCAGTGTCTACACATTTTCATTTGGGGGATTTACAAAGTCTCATAGACTTGCAGCTGGTGAGTGGTGTTCTCTGTGGCTTTGGTGCCATCCTGAACCTCACAAGGATACTGCAGTAGGTCAATAGCCCCCTGGTCAATTTTGTTCATGGTGTTGTATACAAAGATGCTGCTCAGAAGGATTGCCAGAGCAAAGATCTGGGTATCATTCTTATCATCATCCTAGAAGTCAAACAAATTTAAGTCATGTCAAACRGCATTYCCAAATGCACAATCATTAAAAATAGAATCCTGATATACAAATGTTAAGCAGGGAAAACACAAGTGATTGTCAGACACATGAACTTGCWTAACTTTCTCATTTATAATTTTATACTAATGCATATATTTCTAATTCCCAAGTCCCTCTTATAGCTACTATTAGATAACTGCAAATGGTATAGTCAAAGTTAATGGGGGAAGCAGAGTAGTTAAAATGAAGGTTTTCCAGGTATCAAAACAAAATTGGTCTATCTGCACAATCCATATATCTATTTTATTAAATAATTATTATCCACAGGGAGTTCATATTACCAATCTTAGACATCTAATTCTAATGCTATAAGATGAGCTCATAATTAATATCTCTATTTTGTATATGAGTAAACAGAAGATGAAATTTTGTCTTAATATCTTTACATCTTAATAAGTCAGAAGTAAAAATCAAAATCAAAATATAAAAAACACTAGACATTTAAGAGATAGTTTGGTTTGGTACAAAAATCAGCTTATAAGATCCAACTATGTACCTTTCTTCCCAAGTCTGAGGTTAGGGACTTCACTTGAGTAGCTTGTATTTASTTATGATAAAAATATTTAGGGAATGGTCAAGTCTTTCTTTTTTTCTATGAGCTGGTTGTTAAATACTTACTAGCATACAACTAGAAAAGGCTCATGTGTTAGACAAGACCTATGGGTGTACTGTTGAATAATTCTAAAGAAAAAAATAAAAGATGTAGGGAGACCTACTCTTCTTGTCAGTGTCAGAGAGTTACAAGTGCCAGAGTCCTGATTTGAATAGAATTTTATCTCATCTTCAACCCACTACTAACCATATTCAGTGCAAGACCAGGCTTGTAATGTGATTTTATTTGCACCATTTATGCATCTGTCAACTACTAAGCAAAACATCAGTGTAGTTCTCCTAATACTCATTCTGAATTATAAATATATTTCCTCACTTTCAGGGTTCCAAACACTATTGAAAATGGAAATAAAAAATGAGGGGCAATATAGTCCAGTCAAGTTGAA